CGTGGGCGTGCGGCGGCAGGGGGAACCCGAGCGGGGTGTGGCGGCAGAGGATGTAGGGGAGCAGGTGCGGGGCATAATGGAGTAGGCCGGAGGTGAGGGCGGGAGTATCCGCTTCAGGGCTGCCGGAGCAGGTTGGGATGCCCGAGGGGGGAGGGAGCAGACTGGAAAACGCAAATGGAGAAGCATCCTCCTTCTAAAGGGAATTGGGACCTGCTGCCAGGTTCCACAGTATGATGCTCCCAGCCACCAACTCTCTGCTCTAGGGACGGGGGCAGAGATTTCTTCCCCTCTGGGCCGAGCCTGGTAGATATAGTCTCCAAGCACTTCCTCCCGCCTCCCTTAAAATCCCAACCAGCCCCTAAAGAATCTGCGGGTGACCTGCTGTGGGGGCCGGTATGAAATAATTAGCATAATGGAAATAATAAAAGAGACTACAGTGCAAGGGAGAGGGTGGGAAATAGATGAGCACTTTTGTTACAGTGCACTGCAGTATGTGGATGACTGTAGAATTACAAACGCACCTGCAGCCAGAGAGGTGGCTTCCCCCTCCCTGCTGGAAGAGTATTTTTATGTAGCTGGAGCAGGGATGAGGACTCCCCTCACTAGCCTGTGCCTTCATAGTGGCAGGCTTGTGTAAACACAGAGAAACAGGCCCTATATCCAAAACTGTTTACAATCTGATGTATAATTGAGACACATAAGAGAGCTGGAGGAGTGCTATATCATCTATTACCCATTATTTGAGCTACATCACATATTTAAAAAATGGAACCTACTGGAGTTAGTTTATAAGAATTCATGGTGTAGACAGACAGTGGGATAGAGAGGCCTTTCTGCTCAAAGCTGCTGGTTTGAATTCACCACATGTCAAAAATGACTGAAATCTCTACTTGCTGTTGGCAAGTCAGGAGTGACCAAAATAATTTGGTGTTCTCAGTCTTTGTGAATGTCATCACATCACGTAAATAGGTCACTACTACTGACAGAGGTATTGGCAGGAGAGATACAAAGCCCTGAACAGAGCTGAAGACTAAACTCCTCTCCCCTCTGGCATAGGTCCTTTTAAAAAAGTTTTGAGACAAGCACAGCCCTTTAGAAATGCTCACTCTAAGACTACATCTACACGGCAAGCTTCTTGCACAAGAATGACCATTCTTGCACAAAAGCTTGCAGAGCATCTACACTGCACATGCGTTCTTGTACAAGTAAATTTACAGTAAAGCGTCGGAACAGAGGGCTTCTTGCACAAGAGTTATTCCTCTCCTCACGAGGAATAAGCCCTCTTGCGCAAGAGCTCTTGTGCAAGAAGGCAGTGTGGACAGGCAAGAGGGGTTTCTTGCGCAAGAAACCCTTATGGTTAAAATGGCCATCATTTCTTTCTTGCACAAAAGTGTCCACACTGCCATGGACACTTTTGCACAAAAGCACATGGTAGTGTGGACGCACTCTTGTGCAAGAACTTTTGCATAAGAACTTTTGTGCAAAACATATCTTATGCAAGAACCCTGCAGTGTAGACGTAGGCTAGCAGTAGCTGGTGTGGTACTGTTGTGTACATAAATAAAAGTGGTTTCGGGCTCCACCATTGTCAAGCTTTGAGATCATAAGTAACACACACAGCAATTAAGTTAAAAACTTTAAAAACAAAGAAGGTCTAGCAATAACTCAGAGTGTCCTGAGGATGTTATTTCTGAATGTAAAGAAGCTGGTTACCGAGGAAATCACAGATAATTAAAATACAAAGATTATAAAAATATTTTAAAAATTACAAGAAAACAGATGGTATTTAAATTATGTAAGAACGGTGGTGCTTTCATTTTAAGAAATATGCTTAATGCCTTTGATAATTATAATTTCAGTGTTAATTGGTGTGTTGTAATTTTTTACTGAATTGCTTAAATGTATTACTTATAATTAATTATATTTGAATGACTTAAACCTGTACAACTGTACATTTGCAAGTGTATAAAATAAAAGGAAAAATTACTTACAGCTAGAGAAATATAGAAAGAATCAGCTCACAAGAAAGAAAGAAAGAAAGAAAGAAAGAAAGAAAGAAAGAAAGAAAGAAAGAAAGAAACAGCAGCACACCATCCAACAGGGAGGGATGGTAGGATGAAAGAAGTCTGCCCCAAAGGCTCAAGTTTGGGATATATCAGTAACTGGAAGAGAAGATCAAGTCCTGCTGAGGGATTGCTCAATGAATCACTCTCTTTGAAACCCTTCTTGAATGGAGATATAAAGAAATGCAAAACATGGTAGGGGAGAGAACAAGGTAGGACAGTAGTACCTCTCTGGTGCCACACTAGACCAGTAAAATCTTCCAAATTTGAGAGTATATGTAAGGTGTGGAAAGACCTGCTCTGCTCTCCAGACAGTCTGGAACTTCAGTAGAGAAACCCTTGCTAAAGGAACTGTTCTCTTCAACCTTGCAGGAGCCAAGCTGTTAAGAAGCTGGTTGGAGAGCACGTAGGTGGCTTTTGGGAGATAACACAATTTATTTTTTCCCCCTTAATAAAAGAAGGAAGCTGTATTCAAGCCCCACTGAAGAAGAGCATAGTTGAATTAACAGGTGTGTTGTATTAACAGGTGTGTTGTAAGCAAAACTCGTGAAGTCATTCTGCCGCTCTACTCTGCACTAGTTAGGCCTCAGCTGGAGTACTGTGTCCAGTTCTGGGCGCCACATTTCAAGAAAGATGTGGAGAAATTGGAAAGGGTACAGAGAAGAGCGACAAGAATGATTAAAGGTTTAGAGAACATGACCTATGAAGCCAGGCTTCATGAACTGGGCTTGTTTAGTTTGGAAAAAAGAAGATTAAGGGGGGACATGATAGCGGCTTTCAAATATCTAAAAGGGTGTCACAAGGAGGAAGGAGAAAATTTGTTCCTCTTGGTTTCTGAGGACAGGACAAGGAGTAATGGGCTTAAAGTGCAGCAGGGGAGGTTTAGATTGGACATTAGGAAAAAATTCCTAACTGTCAGGGTGGTCAAATATTGGAATAAATTGCCAAGGGAGGTGGTGGAATCTCCCTCTCTGGAGATATTTAAGAACAGGTTAGATAGACATCTGTCAGGGATGGTGTAGACGGAGCTTGATCCTGCCTTGAGGGCAGGGGGCTGGACTCGATGACCTCTCGAGGTCCCTTCCAGTCCTATGATTCTATGATTCTATGAAGGAGCCCTGTGGAAGCAAACAATGAATATGATCACCTATTGAATATCTGCACATTCTACAATGAGTGAATTCTCACATTTTAATATTGCCAGCTCCTATGCTCAGAGTTCACCTTGTAGGCAGAGCTTGGAAGGGCACCATCACCTTGCTTTCCCCCAAATCTTCTCCTTCATAAAGTTGTCGTATAATTTACAGGTAGATTTAAAGTTTGTATTTAGTTATTTATCTGCCTTGATTTCCATTTGAAAGACTTTTTGGTCCTTGCAATTGAACACAAATGGGCAAACAACAGAATGTGTGGACATAAGAATCTTCTGGTTCCAGCTGCAGGAGCAATGCCTCTCTTACTACTAGAGTACAGAAATAAGTATAATTTGCACACACACTTTGGTATCTACAGTGTTGTTGTAGCTGT